GTTGCCTCTTAGGAAGTGTGTCAACACCCTTAGATGTCACTAGGCCAATCCTGCGCCATCTCCATGAAGGAGCTGGTGGTCCCAGGCAAGGTTGGGCCAATGTCACCCAGGAACTGGGCCCAGAGCCAAGCAGGCCTCTTTGCTGCCGTCCCCTCCTGGCCTCCTCTGCTCCTGTTGAAGCCACCAGGGTATCCCCGGAAAGGCCCCTGCCCCATCCATTCCCCGAGTCAACTAGCCCACCAAATGATCTAGCCCAGGCATGGTTGGAAGGGTAGAGCTAACCAATTCAAACCTCCCCCGGATTTCTCATGTGCTGCCCTCTGCCAGCGGGCTGTACTAACAGGATTGTCTTTTTGCCCTCTGGATGCTGAGGACTGTGGATGTCATCCCTGTTTTTTTGTTTTGTCTTAAGAGACGGGTTCTCACTTTGCCCTCCAGGATGGAGTTCAGTGGAACAATCATAGCTCACCATGGCCTTGAACTCCTGGGCTCAAACGATCCTCCCTCCTCAGCCTCCCAAGTAGCTGGGATGCCAGGCATGAGCCATCACACCTAGTCCCATACCCGTTTTAACGATGAAGCTGTCGAGGCCCAGGGAGGGCAAGAAACCAGGCTGAGGCCAGGCAGGAGTGTCTGAGCTCAAAGCTACGTCTCCGGAGGCTCCTGGGCCTCGGCGCTCCGTGGACACAGGCAGGATGTAGGAGACCACGCCCACTGTGCCGCCAAGGGAGCTGCAGAGAGGTCACCGGAACAGTTTCTAAAAGGGTGCGGTGAGAGGACCCTTGCATGCAGTGCGCTCCTGACCCGGCTGGCTGTATGCACAGCTGCTCCTTTCTGGAGAGAGGCTGCCTGGCTGGGAAGCCAAGCTCGAGGCCCGGGAGCTGCCCTGGCCTGTGCCCGGGGACTGCCTCCCTGCCCAGTACCTTGTAGCTGCCCCCAAGGCCTCCATGGCTCTTGCCAGCTGCAGCCTGCTCCGGCGCTCCGTGCTGTTCCGCCATCTCCCTGGGAACACCTCTGGCTTCAAAGCAAAGGAAGGCAGGTCACCGGGTGGAAGCGGGTCATGGGGGACATCGGTGGGGACGTGACTGGAGTCAAGGACAACCTACAGAAACTTGCTGCCCATGGGATGTGGCCATCTTACGATCGACATTTGGTCATCCAACCACTCCACAAATGTCCAGTGAGCACCTTCCATGGGCAATGTGGACTGAGGCAGTCTGTGGGGTCAGGAGCCCCATTTTACAGAGGGGATCTCCAAGGCTCAGCCCAGTGAGGCCACTTCCCCAAGGAATTGGATGACTGGGCCTGGATCCAACACTCTGCCCTTGCCCCAAGTCAGTGGGGGTGCTCTCTGCAGTTGTGCCAGGTCGGGACGTAGGCCCGAGGGTGGGCTTCGGGGTGTCTCTTCTGCCTCCACACTCCAGGCTGTCCTTTGTTCACTGGCTATTTTGTTCGCCTGAGATTCTGTACCTACTCAGTGCCAGGCCCTGGGCAACTGGGTGGATGGGAGATCACGAGTGGTGGGAGGTGGAAAGACAGACATCTAGGGAAAGCATGTGTGAGACCAGGCCCTCAGACACCTGCAGCCCAGTGTCCATGGCTCCGATTGACTATTCTTTCCATCAGCACTGATGGAGTGCTGTGTGGCAGCCACATAAGAGACAGAGATGCAGAAAAACAGAGCCCCTCCAACACTTTGGGGACAGTGATGTACAACACAGGCAGCCTCAGTAGTTGCAGGGAAGAAGTCTCTCATGATTGTGGCACACACAGACACACACAGGACTGTTGTGTTTATTAGCACACACACATGTGCATACACATTCACACAACCTCCTACGGCCAGTCATATCTCACCCATGACACACAGGTTGGTCTCTCTCTTTCTCTCTCTCTCTCTCTCTCTCTCACACACACACACACACACACACACACACACACACACTTCAGACACCCACATCTACACCCTCAGGGTTCCAAACAAGGCCACTTCTGGCACACAAGCTGCGTGTCCCCTCTGCTCTGGACACGGGCCCAGATTGCATAGCCTGCGGCTGTCTGTTCTGTCCATGCCCAGCCTTGGCAGGACACAGGGCTCAGTTCAGCTCATGGGGACTCTCAGGGGACTTGGCAGCATCTGCTTTCACCATTTCCCTCAGGTGCTCGGCCTTTAGAGGCCCCTGCCCCAAGTGCACACCCAGGGGCTCGGACCTGGATGTCGCCCTCTCCCATACAGATGGGGGACACCCGCCCCACCCCCTGCCGGGCTATCTGAGCCCCTCATGGGAGTCCCCCAGAGGCCCCCTGTGCAGGGGCTGGCCACGCATGCCTCACAGAGCCCCCCAGAGGCCTGGGCCTGCCAGGCTGCACTTGCCTCCCTGCCCCCACCCACCCCCGAGTGAACCTGTTGCTGCCGCCTCAGGAAGGACAGAGGAGCCACGGCCGTCTGCAGACTCGGCCTGCCTTCACAAGGAGCATCCTATTTATGGGCGCGTTGTGACAGCCCAGCACATCGGGGCCTGCTGAGGCAGCACCCTGTCCACCCGATTCTGTCCAGGCCGTTTCACTCCAATAGCGGGTCCCGGGAGGCCCCCAGTGCCTGTCTCCTCAGCCATGGCCTCTGATGACTTCCTGGGGGCAGAGGGACCTCGCTGGCTTGTGGGAAGCCCAACCTCACTGGGCAAGGGGCATCGGGGTATGAAGTTCTCCAGTGCCCCCCATTCCTTTTCTTGGTGCCACGTCTTCCTGTTGGGGTGCGTGACACCTGTGGAAAGACCCTAGTTCCTAAAGTGAGGAACCCCAGATGCCCTCCATTTTCCAGGTGTCATGTGGCCTAAATTTTAAGTCTGATCACTCTAGACATACTCTTCAAGTTGGATGTAAATCCATCCAAACGTTTCCTCAGGACGCTGTAACAGACACAACAAAGACTTACTTTCTTCCTGTAGAAGGTATAGCCAGCAGCTACCATTTATTGAAGACCTACTATATGCCAGGTTCATAAGCACTGTTTAATTCTCACTCAGTTACCTTTAGAGAGGAATTATGATTCCATTTTACAGATCCAGACATTTTTTTTTTTTTTTTTTGAGTTGGAGTCTCACTCTGTTGCTTCAGACTGGAGTGCAGTGGCTGCTCCCGGCCACTGCAGCCTCGACCTGCTGGGTTCCAACAATCCTTCCGCCTCAACCTTCAAAGTAGCTGGAACTACAGGCACGCGCTACCACGCCCGGCAAATTTTTTGATTTATTGTAGAGATGAGGTCTCGCCAAGTTGCCCAGGCGGGTCACGAAGATCCAGACATTTTTAAAGTGTCTCACAAAGCATAATTTTGCCTGTGATTGGTATTTAATTAATGATTACTGAACGAATAAAACAATAGAGGAGTAACTTGTTCAACAACAAAGTTTTCTTTGATTACTGTTAGTTGTTTCTGGATGAATCCTCAACTCAGCGTAAACCCCCGATGCCCCTAGAGGGGGCAGTGGGATCCTTTGGGTGATAGCTGGCTTCAGTAGTCAGGTAGACCCACGTGGCCTTGGGTGAGCTCCTGGCCTCAGAGCTCCGGCCTCCTCGCCCATAAATTAAAAACCTCCTCTCGACTCGAGCCACTGGGAGATCGTGTAAGCAAAGCACTCTATGCACTGCCTGCACCTCACGGCTTTCGTCCTGAGGACCCTGCATACTGTCTGCAGTTCAAGCCAAGGGGCGACTTCCTGCTGAGGATCGTGGGGAGCAGAGTTGAAACGCAGCCACCAGTGGCTCATCCTGTAATCCCACACCTTTGGGAGGCTGAGGTGAGTGGATAGCCTGGGCCCATGGGTCCGAGACCCGCCTGGGCAACTTGGTGAGACCTCATCTCTCCAATAAATCAAAATGAGCCGGGCGTGGTAGCGCGCGCCTGTAGTTCCAGCGCCAGCTACTTGGAAGGCTGAGGCGGAAGGATCGCCAGAGCCCAGCAGGTTGAGGCTGCAGTGGCCGGGAGCGGCCACTGCACTCCAGTCTGGGTGACAGAGTGAGACTCCAACTCAAAAAAAAGAAAGAAAGAAAGAAAGAAAGAAATGCAGCTGCCACAGGCTAAGACAGGAGCGGGGCAGGGGTGGGAATGGACTCCCTTCAGAGCCTGTGGAGTCCTGAGGACTTACTATGTGCTCAGCACTTTCATAAGCCACATCTGAACCCAGACTTCACAACCTGGAGGCCACTGCCATCTGGACCCGACTGTCCTTTGAGGTGGGGTGGGGGTGGGGGCGTGGGCTGTTCTGTGCATTTGGGCTGCTGAGTGGCATCCTTGGCCTCCCCTACTTGTCCGTAGCATCTCCTCTGCTCCTTGGGGTGACCAAGAATATCTCCCATCAGCGCCAGGTATGCTTTGGAGGGTATGAACCCCTCAGGTGAGAACTACTGCCTTAAACTCTGGCCACTAATGTCACGATCACCATCCACCTCGTACTGCTAAGAAGCAATGCTTCGCGACAGCCTACACAGGCGGTGGCAGGGTGAAGACGTCTGGGGTTTCTCAGTACCACATTTTCCTATTAGGGTACGTGACACCTCTGGAAAATTCTTAAAGTGAGGGACACCTTTCATTTTCCATGTACCACATGGCCTAAATTTTAAGTCAGATCACCCTAGACATACCCTCTGAATTGGGTATAAACCCACTCAACTGTTTCCATAGGATGCTGTAACAAACCCAAAGAAGATTTGTTTTCTTCCTTTGGAAGGCACAAATGATAGCCACCATCTATTGACGGCCTACTACATGCATGGCTCTGAGGTAGATCCATAGGCATTGTTTAACCCTCACCTCCGCTTTCGGTCTGAGCTGGCCCCCCGCCCTGTGTCCATGGCCTCCCATTCCAGGTAGACACCCTCTCCCAGGACCCCAGCAGTGCCCTCCAGCTGCCCAGCCCACAGCTCAGCACAGCAGAGGGACTGACTCAGCCAGTGCCCCTGGGGCCCAATGACACCATTCATCCACACCCAGACACACCGACTTCTCCAGTGCAACTTGCTTCAAAGCTTTATTTGCTTTTTTCGTCATCTGAATGCAACATCTTTGTACATGCAAAGGTCATCTTGTTTACTGCAGTGGACTGATTCCCAACTGCTCTTCTGTGCATATGAAACCTCTTTACAGTTACAAAATATAAAAGCACTTGTAGACATCCAATACTCTGTGAAGTCCAGAAAGCCCCGTATTTTTTTTTACATTAAAAATATAAGTTTTTCTAGATGAATTCTCAGTCACACGGTTAGAGATTCTTTCTGGGATCGGATAAAGGGCCTCTCGTCTGCCTTCCACTCAGAACTCCTAGAGCTTGTGAATTCATAAGGCAACTGCAAGAACCCGCAGGCAGGAAGCATCTCTCTCCTACACACAGAACTCGGGTTCTTTTTCTATCATGACTCAAATATCTGAAGAGGGACCCGGAAGAAAGGTTAGGAAAATATAGACTATATTTAAATAGATTTCCACCCGCACCTCATCTTACAAAGCATTTTGAGGGTCAGAATCACCTGAGAAGTGCATGACTTCTGGGACACTGGTATGATTTAGGGAACAGCACGGTACAAAGTATCTTCCATAATGCAATATATTACTTTTGTGAGCCCCCTATATGCAGGATCTGTAAGGCTATGTGGAAGGAGGTCGTTACAAAACTCAAATTCTTCTTTAGACAACAGCATCACTTTTAGCTGGTGTGATGCCACTGGGGATTGTCAAGGAAGTGTTCGTCCGGGCACAGAAGATGCTACAGCACAGGTGGGAACACAACTATTTAAGGAGACTCTGGGAAGGCCAAGGGGGGAGGATGAGGGGTGTTGACTTCAAGGGTAGACTTGCCAGACACCCTAGGCTTACTTTCCGGAGCAGAGAGCCTGGATTTCTGCTCCTCCTTCAGCAGGGGAGTGAGTGTGGGGGTGGGCGGAATGGCACATTCATGCCCCCTGGCTGTTCACGTGGCTCTAGGCTTCCAGAACCTTGGCCTGCCCAGAATTCCGGGGTGACTCCCAGCAGCTTCCCAGCACAGGGCAAGGGGTCCCCCTCACGAAGGGGATGGAGCCCAAGGCAGGTTGCCTTCTGGGCGAGGAGTGGGTCCTGCCTGCCACCAGCAGCTCCCCCACCTGGGTACTGCTCCTCCTGCCCCACAGAGTTGTGACACCAGGGATGGTGGCTTCCATACTTTTAACACATGGTGGGAGGGGGCAGCGGCACCTTCAGAGGCCACAGGATGTCTCGCCTTGCTGCATGTAAACATCTAAACTGGGGAGGAGGGACTTTAAACTTTGTCACTACGCCTAGTTCCAGAAGCCACGTGGGGGTCTATCAGGACTGAAAATCTGAATGCATGGATTGACAAGACAGCCATGGGTACCAGGTGGGAGCAGCTGAGGACTCTTTAGGAAAATCACACTAAGGGTCCTTCCAGATCCCTGGCTCAGCCTCTAGGGTCTAGATCCTCTGCTTCTGCCTGCTTCCATCCTCCTTCTTAGCAATAACCTGACATTGGCCTCACTGCTGATGCATGAAGGAAAATGTACCTGCCTGAAAACATGGGACTTGGTGAGTCCCCCTGGGGAACGTTGCCATCCGATTGTCCTTTCCCTGAATCCTGGGTGACCTGAGGCTGCCAGGACACAGTCACTCAAAACCACAACATCCTGAACACCACGGGGTTTCTCTTCCACCAGAATTGCTCGGGTGGCACTGAGGAATTCCACAACACTGACTTCTGAGGCCTTGGTGTGGAATTTCACAGGCAAAGACCTCTGCTTCATTAGGCAGAGGACCATGAAGAAGGGCACCTACTGCAGAGGAAACAGATCTATCCAAAGACCAGCTGTCAAAATGCTGATGTGTGGGGGAGGGGGAAAGAGCGTGTAACACACAGAAACCTGCATTTTGCTTGACTGACTCTGATTCTCTCATCTGAGGAGAGTCAAAGCCCCTGGGTAGGAGACCTGGATGGGGGGCCGCTGGCTTGATTGCACACAAACGATTAAGGCATACTCAGCTCATTTAAAAGAAGACAGATTTCCAGAGAGGGCTCCAGAGAAACTTGAGAAACTAGCCAACAGCCACCTGCTTAGCCCTGAAGAGCTCACTAGTTTAGAAAGAGAAGTGAGCACCCATCTGCCCAGCTACCTGCAAAGCCTCCCGTGTGGTTCACTTCTAACTTCATTGCATTGGTTGGGAGCAGGACTCAGAGAACATGGGAGCCTGCCTACAGAAAGAGGGTCATGCCTGACCCCTGCGATTGCCTGTCTTGTGGTGCTGGAGGAGACGAGGCTGCAAGAATCAAAGGAGGTGAAGATCTTCAGGGCTTGCCCTGGTCAGTTTCAAGGGGGTGGACTCGTTTGTCCTAATCAACACGAGATTCAGTGAGTTGTTTTTTTTTTTCCAACCCACTGAGGCAGAAGATCTCCAGGTCAATTTCATCACCAAGTGTCTTCTTTCCTGTCGCATCTTGGGCTAAAATATCTCATGAAGAATGGAGAGTCTTGCTGTGAGTGTTGATATGCTTAAGAGCAAAGCCTTCCCACACTGCCTGTGATGGCACCAAGAGGCCCTTTCCAAATGAGGGAGAGACAGGTAGTAGCCAAGAAGTGAGTTGGGGTCAAAACACGAGTGTGCTTTAAAGGGGGAGGCTTATTGACTTGGAAAGAACTTAAACTGAATCTTAAAAAACATCAACAGAAGCAGCTCCTGGAGGAGTTAGGTGCCCAAGTGGTCAGAGAGCACTGGCTGGTCACTAACTCAATGAAGAGAGGACAAACTATCCTCAAACATGGCCACACACCCAAGTTCAGACGCAGGAGGTGTCCAGATGTAAAAGCTGGGCAGGTGACAGAGCCCAGCAACTGCCCATCAACAGCCAGAGCTCACTCGCAGGCCTCTAGCGGGTGGTGGGCGGGTGGCTGTCCCTGGTGCTGAACTGCAACTTCTCACCAGGACACAGGTGTTTACCTTAATCTGGAGAAACAGAGGATTGCTACTTACCCCCCCCAAACCCCAAGAGAGAAAAGAGGTGGGAAGGGGAAAGGGAAATGAGGGGCAAAAATGAAATGGAAAGACAAATGAACTCTCGGAAAAGCGGCCAGTGGGAAGAGCAGCATGTTTTGACACCATCTGCAAATAATGAATTTTCCGAGAGACTTGCATCTCATGGGAAGCAGGGAAGGGTGAGGTGGAGGGCACCCGTGTGCCCGGCTTCCATCTCCAGTGAGTGCTATGCATGGATCCACTAGCCACATGGCCCCAGCAGTCGCAGGATGGTCCAGGACTGTCCAAGCATCTCACAATGGGTGTCTCCCAGGCAAGGTTGGCACGAAGACTATGGCAGCTCCAGGCACAGCAGGTGGTCAGTCAGGCAAATCTGAGTCGTCTGCTGTAGTCTTGGGCTTCAGAAGTGGAGGAGGCAAGGGTTGAGGATTTCCAAAAGGAAGGACAGAGGAGAGAGGGTCTGGAGCCCCTGGGGTTTTGGGAGACTCCCAGGAAGGAACTTCTAGCTAGCAAGAGAAAAGGAGGCAGGCTGGCCTTATGCTTCCTCAATCGAGAGCATCCAGCATTTCTGTCCTGGGTCCCTGGCCTAGGGGACTCCCCCACAGAGAAGGATTTTCAGCAAGACTTGTGTTGGGAGCAAGAGAAGTGCTCAGATTGGGTGGGGGAAAACGAGGTGAGAAAGAAAAAAAGTACCCCTCATTCACACATCCGTTTTGGAGCCAATCTGGAAAGGTCCTTCCATGCCAGTAGCCCACGTTGTGTTAAAAAAAGACTGGAGAAAAAGATTCCTGGGGGCAAGTCTGATGTTTAAGTGGCAAAGGCACCGCCCTCCGGGCTGCAGCTTATGAACCCTTGAGGCTGAGGAACAAAGGTCACCCTACAGAGCTCAAGTGAAAAGTAACCAGGAAATATGTATAAGAGTGACAATTAAAATTTTTAAAAGTTTGGATAGGGATAAGATAACCTGAGGTGATTTGATACTTCAAGACAAACAATTCACACATCTTTCCTCCTGTCCTTTAACATAAAAACATATATACATATCAAGTTTCAAAGAAAATTGGCTGAATTATTGCTTTATCGTCTCCTAAAGCAAATAAAAATGACATACAGTGCCACATGCCAATTAAGCACACAGTCCCACTAGAAGGATAAATACACTTGAAATAACCAGGGAGGGCATGTTTAAAAAGTCAAACTGCTGATTCCTCAAGGGGAAGAAGGAAATCGCAAAACAAAACAAAACAAAAAACCAAAAAAACAATCAAAAGCTCCAACCCAGGGGTAACGTGTTTTCTCCTTGACTGAGATCACAGTAGGAAAAGGAGGGGCTGATCTTCCTCCCTCAGAAACGTCCTTCCTAAAAAGACCTGCCCTGGGGTGGGGCAAAGAGGTGCTATCACAATTCAGGTGTTTCCAGAACTGAGGGAGATGGTCCAGCCTCACATGGATGTCCCTGGAGCTGCTGAAGGTGTCGAGGGTGGGCAGGAATGCAAATTTTTACATAAAAAGTGCAAACACCCGCGTGGACGTTTCTGGGCAGCCTGGCGTCTTCTCCAGCCTGAAGTGCCATCTGGGGGCTGAGCGAGGCTCATGGAAGATGGGTCTTCGTGCCTGGATGCAGGGGGCACGGGACACTGTTCTTCACCCAATAGGAAGGGCCCAGGCACGTAAGCACTATGCAGGAGGAAACGGCAGCAGCTGGGCTTCATCTGCGGGCTCTGACAGTTAAGGCTTCTGTTGATTAGATGTGGCGGTGTCTCCTGTCTGGAGAGGAAGGGACAGTCCTGGTGTCAGCAGTGGGAACATGGGCCATTTCTCTCTACCATCAAGGCTTAAAACCTTTTCTAATATCCTCCATGAAAGCCACCCCCAGAAGCCTAAGGCCAGAAAAGAGATTTTGGGGTGAGCGGTGTGGGTACAGGTGAGAAGTGGAACAAATGTGATCTTTAGGGCCAGGCCAGTGTTCCAATCTCAGTTCTGGGCTTCAGTTTCCTCAGATGGGTTGTTGGAGGCTTAAATGACATACCACGGGTTTTGCACTAAACACAAAATAAACACAGGTCCTGGTGCCTTATCCAAATCCCTGGTGCATAGATTGGGAATTTATAACTTTTTTGAGCTCATCATACATACATACATACATACATACATACATACATGCACACACACACACACGCATTCATATGTGTATAAATAACATGAGCATATATACATATATAATGTAACACCCCCACAATCAAGCATATAATATACCTGCAGTGTACTATGAATATCCACATAAAATAGGAAAACTTGAGTCAGAACAGTACTGCATCCATTCAGCTCAGGTTCTGCCACTGAGTGAGCTATGAGAAGGCTTTGCTTCCATAGCTTTGTGAAATTTGGGCATGTGGACATGAATGGTCAAGTCTCTTGTGCTCATCACATCAACGCTGACTCTGATGGCACACACACCACACACTCCTACACTGAGGACGAACAGGCAGCACTCAGCCAAGCACTTCAGGTAGATGTGTTCTCAGAGAGCCCTGGGAACCCCAGGGCAATGTGAGCACAGTTAACCCATTTTACAGATGAGGAAACTGAAGTTTGCCACGTTCAGTCATTTGGAACTTATACCAGGGTCTGTCTGATTGCTTGATTCTTTCATGTTTATGTCCTCAAATTAATTTTCAATTACACAGTTTGGACATGAATGCATTCCCCACATAAACATGTGAAACATTTCAGATGACGCTAACCTCAAACACCCCCACCCTTTCATCTCATCAAAGGGGACTGAGATGTAGCGAGATGGGCCAGCTGAGCACATGAGCCCAGAGCCCAGGCCATCACCACTCATGGCTGCTCAGCTTTGCTTCCTCCCTAAATGCAAGCAGACCTCTACCACTCTCTTCACAGGAAATCAGGACACCCCCCCAGCCCACACTTCTCTGTGTACACAGCCTTCTCTTTCCTGGACACACAGCCCTAGTCTCTGAACCTTTGCCCCGGCCTAAGTTCCCTGCTCCTCGGACTGCAGAGCTCTTCCGAGTCTCCCCAGCAGAGCCCCTTTGTACCTGGTCAAACTTGGTTCTCATAAAGGCTTTGCCTCTTCTTGGACTTCAGCTCCTTTAGCCACTGGGGAGAGGGCTCATCCGACCTGAAACCACAAGGCCAGCAAGAGACTAGCGTGAGCCAGACTGTGGGCTCCGTGCCAGCAGGGCTGTGCGGTGCCTGACTCTCTATCACTGGCTAGGGTGGGGCTGGGGCATTCCCAGGTGGCAGAGATGTCCATGTTAACATGATTGATGAGCAAGAAGGAGAAATCAACTGGTGTCCAGCAAATGGGGGAAGGTTACATAAATCACGATATACCCATTCCACGAGGTAATCTGCAGCTATAAAAAATCATCTCATGAAATTACTTCCATCCATCCATTTGTCACCCTAACACTGACCATCCGTCCATCTCTCTACCCAGGTCAGTGCCTATGATGGTTAGTTTTACGTGTTAACCTGGCTAGGCCATGATGGCCAGATATCTGGTCAGATTTTATTCTGGATGTTTCTGTAAGGCTATGATTTTCTGAGATGAGGTTAACATTTAAGTCAGTAGGCGCCGAGGAAAGCAGATTATCCTCCATAATATGGGTGGGCCTCGATCAATCAGTCAAAGGTTTTAATGGAAAAAGATAGGCTTTCCAGGAAGAAGAGGGAATTCTCCCAGCATTGAGCGTTTGGACTCAAACTGCACCTCTTCCCTGGGTCTTCAACCTGCTTGCCTACTCCGCAGGTTCTGAATGTGCCCGCTTCCACAAACATGTGAGCCAGTCCCTTAAAATCAATGTGTGTGTGTGTGTGTGTGTGTGTGTGTGTGTGTGTGTATGTGTGTGTGTGTATAGACACAGATCTGTGTGTACACGTACATATATGCATGGACACGTGCATGCCCACATATGTGCAAGTATATTCAGCTGATTATTGAACACAGCTTCAACTGCCGGGATTCAATTATGCAAGGCTTTTCTCCCACCTCTGCCACCCCTGAGACAACAAGACCAACCACTGCTCCTCTTTAGCCTTCTCGACCTGAGGGTGATGAGGATGGAGACCTCGATAATGACCCACTTCCACTTTGTGAATGGCAAATGTATTTTCTCCTCATGATTTTCTCCATAATAATTTCTTTTCCCTGACTGACTTTCTTGTAAGGATACAATATGTGATACATATGACACAGAAGATATGTGTCAACTGACTGTCTATAGTAAGGTTCCCAGCTGGTAGGAGGCTGTTAGTAGTGAAGTTTTGGGGGAGTCAACAATTACATGCAGATTTCGAACTGAGCAGGTGTCAGCACGCCAGTGCCTGCTTTGTGCAGGGACCAACTGCATACACACACACACACACACATCCGGTTGGTTCCGTTTCTCTGGAAAAGAATATAAAGCCCGTAAGATATAGACAGATGTCTTCTGTGTGTCGAATGTTAACAACGATTTGTTTTAGCCTTTTGAAATTGAAGAACAACAAACAGGAAAGCATTCAGATCATACGTGCGCAGTTCAGTGAATTTTCTCAAAGTAAACACTTTGAGTAACCACCATCCAGACAGTAATATTTCCGAGTTTTTTTAACTCTGTCATTTTCTGTATTGTCAGAATTTCTTGTAATGATAACATATTATTCGTTCTAAAATGTTATTCAAGAAAAATGTTACGCACATGAAGATTGTTTAATGGGCATGAGGGAATGTTCACATGAAACACGAAGCAAGGACAAAAGCTACATAGGTGCTGTGATCAACTGCATTGAAAAAATGAAGGGGAGATGCCCAACACTGACAGTAGTGGGTTTTGCAGGGCAGGACTGTGGACAGTTTTCTTTTTTTTTCTATTCTTTTTATAGTTTCTGAAATTCCTGCAGTAAACGTGTGGCTTTTATAATTGAACATACGTGTACAAAGGACCTGACTTATTTTGATCTCAGAGAAGGCTTCCGGCCCTGTGGCCCTGGAGAGATCAGAAAAGTTGCTGGCCAGGTTGGCAGCGGGTAGGGTCTGTGGCTCAGGGGCCAACGGCCGAGGTGGATCTGCAGGTCTGGAGGCAGACCTCGAGCTGCCATGCTTGCCAGCCTGGGAATGAGGAGGAACGGGCCTGTGGGTGGGCAGACCAGGGTCTAGGTACTTCTGGCTTCAGTTAAGCCTTGCCTGATGGTAGTGGCACAAGCCTGGGCCTCCAGATGTGTCTCTGAGATGTGGGTCTGGGGGTTCCCCCAGCCACAGAGAAAGCCAGAGTCCCCCTGCTGATTCTGGGGCCAGAACGCTGGCATTGCCAGAACAAGGAGGCCCCTCCCAGCCATGGCCCTGTCTCCCCAGTCCCTCGTCTTCCTCGTTCCCACCGGGCACTCTGCTGTGTGACACGCACCAGAGTATCAGGCCTCCAGGCACTTGCTCATGCTGTGGCTTCAGCCTGGATCCTTCCTCACAGCCCCTTCATCTAGCTGAGGCCTAAATGTCCACCCTGACTCTGCTTAAGCATCCCCTTCTCTTGGAAACCTTTTAAGACACCCTTCCTCAAGTCTACGTTGCAAGCCCTCCCTCTACCACAGGAGCAGGGTAAAGGGCCAGATACTGAATTGCTTCCACCCTGTGGGCTAGAGGGTGTCTGTTGCTACCACTTAGCTCTGAGCTGCAGCACAAGTACAGTCATGGACAACACACAGATGAATGGTGTGGATGTGTTTCCAATAAAGTTTTTTTTTTTTTTTTGAGTCAGATTCTCACCCTGTTGCCCAGGCTGGAGTGCAATGGCACACTCACGGCCACCACAGCCTTGACCTGCTAGGCTCAGGTGATCCTTCTGCCTCAACCATTCAAGTAGCTGGAACCACAAGCATGCGTCACCACGCCTGGCTAAATTTTTGATTTATTGTAAAGGTGAGGTCTTGCCAAGTTGCCCAGGCTGGTCTCGAACCCCTGTACTCAAGCAATCCTCTCGCCTCTGCCTCCCAAAGTGCTGGGATTACAGGCATGAACCACTGTACCTGGCTCCAACAAAGTTTTATTAACAAAGACATACAGTGGACTGAATTCAGCCTGTGGGCCACAGTTTGCTGACTCCTACTCTATTCACAGTCCTTATTACAATGACAGCCCGAATATCAGAAACACCCCTAACTCCCGTGTGTTAGCAGAATTCTACTCTGCTTTACTGAGCATTTCTATGTGTCAGGGCCTATGCAAAGAGTTTTATATACACTCCTTGTTTCTTCTGCACCTAGGGAGGTTAGAATGGTTAGTAAACCCATTTTACAGATGAGGAATCTGAGGCTCAGAGAGGTCGAGTGGCAGGTCTTAAGCAGCACAGCTTAACTGAACTCCAGCACAGCTGGAATTGAACCCCAGCAGTGTGACCTTAGACCCCGTGTTCTTAAGCTCCACCCAGCTGCCAAAATTCCTGGACTGAGATAAACTGATCTTGCTCAACCTGCCTGTGCCCTCGAGCCCACCTTCCCTCCTGAGACAAAGGTACTTCCCTAGAGGGGAAGAGGAGGAAGGATGCCTCAGTTTCCCCATCGGCTTGGAGAGGGCTAAACCAGATAGTAGTTTTCTGATGACAGAGCCCTGTCTTTCTGTGCAGGAGGTAGCAGGGAAGAGGGAAGAAGGGAGGCTGCCTCCTGGCTGCCTTCCCCTGCCTCTGCTGTATTCCTTAGATATCAGAGTGCTGAAAGTTCATGTGAACAAAGCTGCTGCTGGAGAGGAAAAAAAAGGCTTTTCATTAGCTCATAAACCTCTGCAAACACCTCTCGAGAAGTACATCCTGAGTTTGGGAGGAGAAGGGCCCTCGTTCCCCAAGACCCCTCACCTCTCATCCTTGTCCATGCTGGAGGGCAGCATGCGGCTGCCCAGCACCCCGGGCTGGAAGGGGGACTTGGGGCTCTTGGGCTGGGGGGCCCAGCTGAGGGTCTCACCCGAACTGTCCGCCTCTGGCCTCTTGTGGAGCTGAGCCTGGGGAGAGAGGAGAGCTGAGTCTGTAAACCACCCTTTGTCTGGGGAAGGCCCCATCTAATGACACTGTCTCTCTGCAATTGTTGGGGCCCCTGAGCCTAAATGGACCCAGGCAGGACACATGGTGGCTAAGAAAAATCAAGCCAGGTTGGCATTCTACCCTCCCCTTCAAGATCAAACAGCCACTAGAAATCCACAGAGCCACGTTCTCTCTTGCTAAAAAGCACAATGCACAGTGTCTCAGCATGCAACACACTGCCTGCTTCACCTTCCCAAGAACCCTAAGTGGAGAGAAGGCTGCATCCTTCTCATTAAGTTCCTTATTCCCCAGTCTACATAAATAAAATGAATGTGTTGACCAGTCATAAGAGTCCTGCAGGAAAATGGTAGGGTGGATTTTCATGCATTTTTGGAAGACGAGTAAGAGATGGAATAACTTAAGATGTGTGGGTGTGGTGGCTTGTGCCTATAATCTCAGCACTTTGAGAAGCAGAGGCAGGAGGATTGCTTGAGCCCAGGAGTTTGATACCAGCCTGGGCAACATAGTAAGATCTCATCTCTACAAAAAACAACAACAAAAATTAGCTGGATGTGATGGCCTGTGCCTGTAGTCCCAGTTAATTGGGAGGCCAAGGCAGAAGGATTGCGTGAGTCCAGGAGGTTGAGGCTATGGTGAGCCATGATGGTGCCACTATACTCCAGCCTGGGTGACAGAGTAAGACTCTGTCTAAAAATATATATGTGTGTGTGTGTGTGTGTGTGTGTGTGTGGTGTTGTGTACAAAATTCCCTTGGGGAGCTTGGGGTGTGAGGGGTGGCAGTGGATTCTGTCTCTCAGGCAGTGCTGGGCTGGCCCCAGTAACAGCAGTCATTGCTATCGTCCAGACTTCTCCTGTGCTCGGATCGCCCCTCATTTGGGCTCCAGAAGACTCAAGTTACATGAGAAATGTTAATTCATTCCACATGCAAAAGGTTCCTTTCAGGATGGGTCCTGGCTTTCCCATTTTGGAGAGGAAGAGTCTGGAGTTCATGGGTCGAGCAGTTTGCCTGAAGTCATGCAGCTCTGATGAACTGGGCTTCACATGGGGTCTGCCTGATGCCCAACTCCGAGGCTCTTTTCAGAACAAACCCTGCAGCCTCCCTCAGGGATTAATGACTGCTGAGCATGGCCGTGGCCGCAATGAACTGAGTTAATTTACTGCCGTCAGGCCCAAGGAGTCTGAGGTCATACTCTAAGCAGACAGCAACAGCCTCGTGATCACCGAGTGGAGTGGGTTCAACAACCGGTGCTCAGGGACTCCAGGAGTTACTCGGTACCTCCACAAGGGAGCCCCAGGGCCTCTCCCCACCTGTCACCAGGGTCTTTTCCCTGCCTCCTGTGTCAGGCTGGCCTGTAAGATCACTTGTTCTCATGCTTACAAAAATAAAGGTTAGAACACCTGTGGCACAGAATAGTGGCTGAAAGATGTTCACATTCTGAGGCCTATACAATCAATTACAGAGACAAGCATGCATCCACCTTTTTTTTTTTTTCTTGAGACAGGGTTTCACTCTGTCACCTAGACTAGAGTACAGTGGCATGATCACGGCTCACCACAGCCCTGGCCTGCTGGGCTCAAGTGATCCTACCGTCTCATGCTCCTGAGTAGCTGAGGCTGTACGTACCCACCAACACGCCCTGCTAATTTTTCTACCTTTTCCTTTTTTCTTCTGTAGAGACAAGGGACTCACTTTGTTGCCCAGGCTGGTCTCAAACTCTGGGCTCAAGCAATCCTCCCACCTCAGCCTCCCCAAAGTGCTGGGACTGCAGGGATGAGCCACCACACCTGGTCTGCATTTACTATTTGTCGACTTTCTATTCTTGCAAGAAGTGACACAGAAAAATAAAACCTCCACTGACTAAAGGAGTAAACAGACCCACGGGCATCCCATGGGAGGATTCTGCAGCCCGTGTAGAACATCCAGAGTTGAAAAATTCCACAAACAACCCAGGTTTTCTTCCCTTAATTTCTCCTTCAAAACAATGGGAAAGAAGAATTACCTTCTACAGGGCTGTTGGGGCATAAGGTGATTTTGCAACTACATGGTATCTGGCACAGAACTGGGGAGGAGGGGCAAAAGTGGCCCCCTGCTCCCCTGAATTAAGCATCATTTCATCCCAGAACTATAATGGGTGCTTGTTGGGGCTGGGGTGGGGGCTGCTTAGTCCAGTGCCCCCCCTCCAAGGTTCCAGTCAGCATTCAGTGTAATTCATGTATGTGTGGGGTGGTTCTGGTGCAATTTCCCAGGCCACCTGGTAGTGACATGATCATTTTCTGTGCCTAGCTTCCCAAGCAGACAGGAGCCTTCAAGGGCCTCAGGAAGCTGAGTTTATTCACTCCTGCTTCTCTGACACTCAATACCGGGCCTGGTACCTAAAATGAATTATTAGCCCACTTTACAGAAGAGTCAAAGGAGCCTTAGCTATAAGACCAAACAGAGCAGCAGGTTTGGGAGCTGAGGAAAGACAGAGAGTGGAGACTGAGCAACACAGGGCTGTGGGTAAAATCCACATAAGTTAATAGTATTGTGAACACTGTTGTTCCAAGGCCTGTTTTCTACTGTTGACGAGGTGCTGTGGTCATATGAAACATTATCACTGGGAGAAGGGAAGAGAAGGGGTCACAGAACTTCTGTGTACTATTTATGCAACTTCCTTTGAGACTTAAACTATTCAAAAATAAAAATGAAAGAAGGAGGGAGGAGGCGGGAGGAAGAGTCTGTCCTATCTGCTGCCGTGGTAGGGGGCACATCCACCAGGGGGCTCTTGGTGAGTGTTTGTACCTTTAGCACTGCCGGATCCACGCCTGGAAACACAGGTATCCTCTGAGGATGGCTGACGGGCGTCCTCTCAGTCTTAGATGGCTTCTCTTCCTCGTCCGACTCGTCCCTCCGGGGCGATTTCTCTTCTGTTGCAAAGACAAGGGCACCAAAGTCATTGGCAGCCGTCATTTATTGAGGTCCTATGTACTGGATACTTGTACACAGCATCTCACGCAATCCGCATGACAGCCCTGCACAGGAGACATCACTGGCCCATTTTACAGATGAGGACAAACCCAGGTGCCTGCTTTCACATTCTCTCCATGTCACAACTCTGCCTCGTGCCAGAAGATACCGACAATGGGCAAAACAGGTTTGCTTTTGGGGAGGGACACAAACAGACCCACCTCCTAGGCCCTGGCTCATTCCAAGTCAGGAAAGTAGACGGAAATTCTTGGCAGAGGCAGGAAAGGAGACAGAGACACTTCCAGCCAACAATGTGCTGGGGTTATGCTCTTAGAGGAGAGTGTGAGGAATTCCTTGTGTTTTGGGGAAGGGTGGTCCAAGTTGGACCAGGAAGTCATTTTCTGTTGCCCTGAGCTCTTCTTTACAGGACTTATCCCATCCCCACACTTGAGGCTGAGCTGATGGCCCAAACAGGTGACTCTTGTCCCACTCCTCTAGAAGTGAAGGATGAGGAGTTTCAACCTCCCTAAGACCCGAATGCTGGTATGGGCACAGGGAGGAGCAGGGCAGGGGATGAGGATGAACAAGGCAAGCCTGGCCCTCTGAATCCCCAAGGCTGAGCAAGGAATGAGGAATGCAAGCAAAGCTGTCCTTAGAGGAAAATGTGTGGCCCTCCCCAGCCCCTGACTAGCTCCCAAGGCCAATGGGAGCCAGAGGTGCTGCTGCCATGTCCCAGCTTGGGGTAACTGTGTGCTTTTATCTCTACAGTGATCTTCATCTGCTTCAGGTAGCTTGGCAGAGCTTAGCTCAGAAAACCAGGAAAGTATGCAGAAACGTCTCACCTATGATGTTTCACCATCATCTTTAATAACAGAGATGGAATGGACGAGGGAGAGAGAGCAATCTCCAAGCATTTGCTCAAGGTATCTGATCAGCAACGCCCCTCACCAGTTCAAAGCCTGGTCTGAAATTCTACTTTTTGCCATGCACAAATCTCAAATGAACAAAAGCAGCTCCAGTAGCTTTCTAGGGGACTAGAGTCTGTGTATGTGGAGTGGGGAGGCCAGTTGCTGTAGTTTCCATTGCAAGCAGAAATGCTGCTGCTTCTTAAAAATCCTTCCAGGTTCTGCATCTACAGATGAAATCCAACTCCTTAGCATCAAGGATCCTCATGATCTGGCCCCTGACTACCTTTCCAACATGATTCCTGCTACTCCCAGTTTGAGTGACACTAAACTGCTTAGAGACACTCCTGCCACACACTGAAAGCTCTTTCCATACCTCTGTCCCTTTGATCCTATTGATATTTCTGCCTGGAACAGCCTTCCCTAGCTAAGTCTTAAATGCTTTTCAGCTCAGGTTTTAATATGGATTGCAGCCAAAGCAGTCCTTAGAGGAAAATGTATAGCCTTAAGATGATTTATTAAAAAACAAAAAAGACTGATAATGAATGAACTGATCTTTCAACTGAAGAATCTAGAAGAAGGTCAGTAAGCAAACCTAAAGAAAGGATAAGGCTCAAAGCAGAAATAGTGAAACCTTATTAAACTGTTTCTCTGTCCTTTGTAACCCAAAGATCCCCAATTAATATATTGTCCTTCAAAAACATTTTTAATCTAGTTTCTGATGAACTCTGCAAAACAAGAAACCAGTTTCCCATGTAATTGTGTCCTAAAGTCTTCCAGGTCAGGAAGTTCTTCCCAGTGTTTAAATCCTTCCTACTGCTCAGCATGGAATCAGGGAAGGAGACGAGGCATGGGCGCACCTGTTGAGTCCTTGAACATCCACGTGCTGTCAGTCTCTTCCTCCAAAGGAGACTTGCTCTCCGACTCGCTGATCCGGCTGCGCCGGAGGGAGTGGGAGATGGGGGCCCGGCGGCGGCTCCTCTTGCTGAGCTGCACCCGGGTCTTGAGGGCACTTGAGTCGAGAACTGAGGTTTGCTTTGAGGGCAGCCGGGAGGAAGAGGAAGACAGAGCAGAGGAACCATTAGCAGAAGGCACTGCCGTGGGGTGGGGGAAGGGGGAGAAGGGCATAGCTTTATCGATATGTGAGAGGCTATCTCGGAGGCACGTGGGCCAGGGTTTCCGCATCTCAGTGGTAACCCAATACCCCAAGCCCGAACTTGCCCTAAACATACTGCATAGGCTGATGACCAGAATCAGGTGGAACAACCACCCTTGAGTGCCCCAGCGTCGAGCCTGGCACACAGGAGGTATGCACGGTGGAAATGCCTTTCCCCTCCCGTGACGTCACACGAGCATGCAAGCTTGAGCAGTGCTCAGTACACAGAAGGAACTCAACAAATGCCGATTTGCCTGTTGAATGAATAGCTGGATTCGGCATCTAGCTAAATTCTCAAGTCAGTGGTACTCCCAATCCAGGAGCTGAGAGGCTCTTTGTGTGGTCCTTCTTCAACCTATAGCATCTGGGATGCAGGTGGGGGTGCCTGGAGTTACCTCCTCGATACCAGGCATTTGTCTCAGGCATCCCTGAAGACTCACGCTCTGAGCAGGGGCAGGTGGAGGGTCAGTGAGGGCTTCTAAGATCACCACCAGCCCCAGTGGAAGGGCTGGGAGTTCAGACTGTCCAGGTGCCCGGTGAAGAAGTGGAAATGGTGGTGAAGGGCTCAAGCCCAGCTCTGCTTGAAACCCGGCTGTGTGACCTTGAGACATGGGCTTCGCCGCTTTGAGCTGGAGTGTCCTTGCTTACAAAAAGGCAAAGATCACGGTGTCCCCTTCCTAGGGTGGCAGAGAATTCCCTCAGCACAGGCATGGAAAGCCTTTGTTTAGACAAGGCCTGACCAAGGCTCGCAGCGAGAGCCATCACCACATGGGTCTTCTGTCTTCTGGAAAGCTCACACTCCTTCTTGCGAGAAAGGCTGGTTTCTCCCCCACCAAAGCCTCCCAACACCCAGCTCCCAGTTCCCCTTGGAGAGATTCTGTCCCCCAAGGCCTTCTGGTTGGCAAGGAGCAGACCCATTTCAGGGATCATCTTCCAGAGGTGTAAGGGACAGATGCCTGCCTCTGGGGGCGGCAGAGGGAGCTGATATTGGCAGAACAACTTTCCTGACTGGTGGAATCCTGTGGGGGGACTTGTGTGGGTCTGAGGGGGAGAGACGGAAGTCATAGCAGCCCTGCTGACCTGGAGGGAGCTCATTCCTCCTGCCGCGTAACACAGCCGACTCCTCAGACTCAGAGGGTGGGGGAACCTCACCAGCAGAGGGACTGGCTGGGAGGGGTGTCAGGGCCAGCCTTGCAGCCTCAGCCCACTACGGAATGGATTCCTTAGTGCCTGCCTCCCTGCTCGGCCTCCAAAGAGACCCCCACAGGAGACCCATGCCATGGTCAACATCACATGTAAACTTCAGCCTAAATTAGCAACAGACTTGTGCTTAGGGACACTGGCCTTTAGAATTACTCGACAGCCTCTTCGATTTCCTAATCTGCAAAACAGACAGAAGTTTTACCTCTGGAGTTAATAGCATGTGTGAGAGTCAGCGGCCAACACTCAGTGACTGTTGTTTACAACTGACACCAAGATCTAGAAGGAAAGCCAGCACAAGGTGCTATGGCATGGAGACCCCATGCTAGGATATAAGACAAGGCAATGTTTGGCACATCATGGGATTTCAGTAAATGTCTGTTGAATGAATAACTTAATATGTCCCCTAACGAACTCCTTGCGACACCCATAGAGCTGGGCGTGGCCATTCCATGTTTATGTAGCAGGCTGCCCCAATCAACAGAACGGGTGTCCTTCTTGGTCTCTGCCCTTACCTAGAGGGGCCAGTGAGAGACCCTGACCACACTCAGAAGGTGAATCCCTTTGAGGCCCTAGGGGAAGTCCTTCTTCCAATGCAGTGGTGTCCCTCCTCTGGGGGATCTCGGTAGCCATCCCTACGAGTGTGTGTGCGAAGACTTCACAGCCAGGAGAGTGGGTCCCTTGCAGATGTTACAGATGCTGCATCCTCAGGAGGGTGGGCAGGTGGCCCTACTGTCAGGGGAGGAGACTCCTGACACCCCTGGTGTTTCCAGGGACATGCCTGACCCCCGGGGGAGGGGTGTATTCCAGGGTAAGATATCAGGTTCTGGTCTGGAAGGCACTGCAGCAGGGGGTGGTTTGACCCTGGGGTGCTGGCACCCTGGCTATGCTTAAGACCTGGAAGAGTTGAGTTCTACTGAGTTCTATGGGCTGCCCCTGGGAACCCCCATGAAGGGTGCTTACATCTGGGGGCTTTCTTTCCAGAGATAGCCACTACAGAGATAGCTGGATCCCCTAGTACCAGGGACACTGTCCTATTACGGGAGACCTTGGTGAGACCATCCAGCAGAATCACTCTGAGCAAATTCTAGGCTCCTCATGCTTGGAATGATAAGCCTCAGGCAGACCTTCCAGGGGAAGGCCAGACTTCCTGCTTACCTGACAGGTGAGGGCTTAGATCAGTTTAACTTGAACACATGTGATGGTTGTTTACAGGTGAATAAGTAAGGTGGCGCATAGAGAGGTGAAGACCTTGCCCTAAGACACACAGCAGGCGCACGGCAGGTCCAAGCTCCAAGTACAAGCAGGACCTATCTCAAAGACTGGCCCTTTGTACCCACTGTAGGAGTCCCTGGCCCACAGATCCCACTCCTGAAGGGGCAGATCACTGGCAGATGTGGGAATGCCCCTTTTGAAGGAGACATGACGGCTCCCAGCATGGCTGCTGACTTACATCGATGAAGGAGAAGTCGTCCACTCTCTGTGCAGGGTAGGCATCTGAGGGGAGCAGCCCCTCCGTCCCATCGGTGGACTCCAGATCTGTGCTGGAGTGGTCCACACTGGTGCTCTGCTGGTCCCTGGAGCCATCGTGCTGGTCCCCGGCTGAGGTGGGCTCCGTGTGGGAGGACAGAGAAGACAGGCGGCTGCTGGGGGGCTGTTTCGGCGCCGATGCGGCACTGCTGTCCGGGGATTCAGGGCCCAAGCTGCGGGAGTGGGAAGGCAGGGAAACACGGGCATGGAGGGCGTTGCAGAGAACAGACCATCAAATGAGGAGGCAACAGCCTCTTTGAAAATAGCACAAGACATGCCAGCCAGGTGCTGCACATGGTACTGCGTGGGACACTTGGCTGGGTGCAGGATGGGAGGGTCAGTCCTGGCCATTCAAGACCCTCTAACCCCATACTGTACCCTACGGGGGCTGCTGTCACAAGCAGCTGTTGGGCCCTTGCGGTGGACAAGTGAGTGCTGAGATGTGCTGCAGTACGCAGTGCATACCAACTCCCCACACAGTAATAAAAGCGAGAACGTCAAACTAGCTTGCTGATAACCTTTTGCGTTAATTACATGTGGAAATGATAGTCTTTTGAATCTGTTGGTTTGGATAAAATATATCACTAAAATTAATTTCACATGTTTATTTTTTATGCTTTTGGTGTGGCTGCTAAGACTATCTATTTATGTATGTTTTGTCATTTTCTAGAGATAGGGTCTTGCTCTGTCACCCAGACCAGAGTACAGTGGTGCAATCACAGCTCACTGCAGCCTCAACCTCCTGGGTTCAAGTGACCTCCACCCCCACCTCAGCCTCCCGAGTAGCTGGGACTACCGGCATGCACCACCACACCCAGCTAACTTTTATGTTTTGTAGAGAGGAGGTCTTGTTACATAGCAGCTTACATTGTATTTTTCTTTATAATTGACTCACAACAATTCTACATGTTTATGGGGTACAGGGCATGTTTTAATATGTGTCTACATTGTATGATGATCAAATCAGCCCACTGTATTTCTGTTGGCAGCCCTGATGTAGATCAAATTGTTACCAGTAATTACCCACGAAGGAGCAGGAGTGCGGATCTCCGGACTGTTTCATTTCCTCATTCCTTCATCCAAGGAAGCTTTACTGAGCCCTTATAATGTGCCAGGCACCGTGCTAAAAACTGTGTCATTTGATCCTCTCCCCAATTCTATGAGGATTATTTTATAATCCTCTGTCCTCCACAGTCCTACAAGTTAGGGTTACTCACGTGCAATTAAATATTAACCTTGTTAAAGATGAGGAAACTGAGGCACAGAAATGTGCATCAACTTTCCCAAAGGGCACTGGGGTCGAGCCTGGGCAGTCTGACTCCAGAATCTCTGTCCTAGGAGTGCTCCTGTTTATAAAATCTCTTCCCAGGGTAACACATTCAGGAACCACTTGGATAATTAGAATGAGATGGAGTAGAAAATGTGTAAGCAACTCAAGCCATTACACTCCCGCCTAAACAGAAAAAGACACATGGGTCAAAATCAGAGCCAAGCCTCCAGGACATGGAAAGCACTCACCCTGGGAGTGGGCAGGTGGGCAAAGCTGACAGGCGGGCTGACCTCAAAAGAACCCCAGTTGCACCCCTGAACAGAACTCTCAAGCCAGGCGTCTCGGCATTTCACCAAGCTTTTTGCCAAGCTCAGGGAAGCTGTTCTTACTTGGAATACGGAGGAGGTTGCATTGTGGGGCGGGACCGAGGCAAACCCACAGAGAAGGAGGGCGATGCCGTCCAGGGGCACCAGATGGCACCGCTGCCCAAGGCTGGGAGCTCTGCGGCTCCGCCAGGACCCAGAGGGAGGCCGCAGTGTCTCTGTGGGACAGCAGGGGGCGCCCGCACACAAGGCGCGCCCAGGCCTCTCGTCTCCGCCGCGCCGCCGCCCCCCCAGGAAGGGTGGGGGGAGCAGCTCCTGGGTCGCAAAGCTGAGACCTGGGCTTCCAGACTCATGGCCCGTGCGCTTGCTGGCGCGTTCCGGCGACATTTTATAAGCTCATGAACCAAACACATCTCACTGCTCACTGGCCGGGGAAAACGGCTTTCCCGGGTGCTGGGAGAACCTTTGCTTCCCCTCCCTTTTTCTTGGCCATTCTCCTCAACCCAACGGTAATATCAACGGCTTGATCATCTGTACTACTGTGGCAAAACACACATCACATAAAATTTGCCATCGGTGACAGTTCAGCACAATGTGCAGCTGTCACCACTATTTGTTCTAGCACATTCTCCTCACCTCAAAAGGAAACCAGGCGTCCACGAAGGCAGCCACTCCTCACTCCCCTCACCCCGGCCTCTATCCTGCTTTCTGGCTCTAAGGATTTGCCTGTCTTGGATGTTTCTCTTTTTTTTAACTTTTGATTTTTTTTATTTTAAAGATGTGGGGTACAATTCAGGGTTAGGTATACAAATGTCCATTATGCAGCTACCCTTGTTGATGAGGTGTGCTCCCGCCTTGGATATTTCATATATCACTATCTTTATAATTTTTTTGTACTTTCTAAATTTCTCTTTTACAACAAGAACGGTTTTCTCTTATAACTACATACAAGAGGAGTTTTAGCAAAACAGCAACTAGGGAGCCGGTGGGCTGCATCAACCCCAGTCCCCCACCCCACCTCCTGTAGCCAGGTTCCTGCACATGCTTCCTACCTCTCCCTGCTCTGCCGCTGGTCCATCCATGTCCCATACTGGCTGTCAGCTTCATGCACGAGGGTGTCAGTGTCCTTGGCCTCAGGGGGACGCCGAGAGAAACACTGCTTCAGTTGGTCCTGCAAGGACAAACCAGGGGGAATGCTCACAAGCCCCCTCTGGGCTGACACAGATCACATCGCATGGCCTCCAGTTCTGACGTGTCCCAGCTCCCTGCAGCCTAGGAGGTGAGGCCAGACATCCTGGTGTGGCACCCGGGTGATCCAGAGTCCCCGTCAGCCCAAGACATCACAGGAGGCAGCACTTGCAGGGTCAAACTGGGCAAACTGGGAGGAAGGGGTCTCCCTGCCAGTGTGCAGAATCCTGCTGAGTGTCATCCAGGGCTCCTCCTCAGGAGGGAGGCTGGGTGTCTCCCTCCCCCATCACAGCACAGCTGGGCCAAACTTCACTCCATCTTCAGTGCTCCCAGGGCTCATCCGTCTGGTGAGGGCACCCCATGCCCCGCCTTGCCCAGGTGCCCTCCACCACCTTGCCTCCCCCGTCGCCATCACACAGCACAGCATCTGTGCAGCACTGAACTTAGGCCGGGCCCCACCCCGAGGCTCGGACATGAGATCACCCCGCTGGACTGCAGGCCCTCAATAGCTCTGTGAGGTGGGCCTCACTACAACCCCCATTTTACAGATGAGCAAACTGAGGCTTAGAGAGGTGCAATGGCCTGCCCCACATCAAACAACCAGTCAACAGCAATGTGGAATTCAACCCCAAGCACAGGACTTGGACACCCCAAGTCTAAGCCACTGTATCCTTGGCAACATCCATCCCTCAGTCTGTCACGAACCAGTGGCTTGAGGGGTCTCTGCCCTCAGTCTGGACCCTTGGAGGGGGTAGGGGAAGGGAACAAGGGTGCCAGTTACCACAGGGCCAACCCCAGTACCCGGCACACGTGGGCAGCCCACACATCTCTATTCAATGACTGGACTGTGGGCAAATTAAAAGCCCATTCCCTGTGACGTGTACCCTGAAGCGGCTGCCACTTAGGCCTGTGCTGTCCAGAGCGGGGAGAAGCCACAGCACCCAAGGTGAGACCAGAAGTCCAACCCCTGGGTGGGTCACAGGCACAGGAAGGGATCAATGGCCTTGGCTGCCTGAGCTTTGAATGGCACTCCCAGTTGCCATCTTCTGAGGAGGAATATGGGGGCGAGAGAGGCCCAGGAAGACCAGTGGGGCACCTCCACCCTAGGTGGTCCCTTTTAGGCCAGGAGGCACGTCCTGGTGGAATGTGCTTCAGAGCATTCATCTCCTGCTCAAGAACCTCCAAGGGCTCCCTATGGTGCTTCTGCAGAAATCCAAGGCCCCTGGCAAGTGAGTCCCCAAGTTTCCTGTCCAGTCTCATCTCCTGCCCTTGCTCCAAACTTTCTACCCCACTCTCCCCAGCCCATAACACATGTGTTTCCACAAGCCTCACACATTCCTGGCCTCTGTGGCATAACTTGTGCTGCTCCACTGTCCTGGCCACCCTTCTTACCAAAGCTATGGCAACCTGCAGTGAACTCTCCTTCCCTAAACTTCCTGCTGCATCCCCTGGACGATTACTAATCGGATCAGGCAAAGCGTGACATGTAAGTTGTTTACTCAACAAATATTTACCAAGCACCTACTGTGTGCCAGGCACAGGGGGACCAGGAGTGGGAGTTACAACACAGATGTAGTCTCTGCGACTCATCAGATGTATCCTTTAACACTGGGGTGCTCCATTGTCCTTGTCGCCACTCAAAGCCTGCCCAATACATAGTAGATGCTTAGAGGAGGTGGACTGACTGTTCCTCCCAGGGTGGGGAGTTGGCCTCTTCTCAGCTTCTGTGGTGTCACCCTTAGCCAAGCAAGCATATATGTTTCGGCAGAAACAAGCAAGTGCCTGGCTGTGTGACCTAGGGGCTGCTGCTTCCCTTTCTGAGTTGTAGAGAAGTGACAAGGATTCAGTAAGGAAATGGTGATTGCCCCAAGGGCATAGATGCCAAATGAGAGGCAGCCCCTATGGCAGCTCCTAGGACAGGGCTTGGCACTCAGGAAATGCCCCATGCTTGTACACCTCTTTCCCCATTCTCTCTTTCCCGCCTTCTAGGGGTCATTGTGTAGCCCATGATGCTTAAGGGGACACTGCGAGTGAGCTGTGTGCAAGGACAGGAGTCCAGAGCAAGTCCCTTGGTCACCCCAGCAGATGGCCACACTCGGAGACCCTAATAATGATGGCCATCCAGATACCCCTCACTCCTGGCCTGGACAACCTTTTTTACTCTTTCTAGTTACCAACATAATACACTGCTCATTGTAAAACATTTAGGAATTACAGAAAACCACAAAGAATACTGTAAAAATAATTCAGAGCCCAAAGACAATATCCTGGAATAGTCTTGTCCAGAATTTTCTCTGGGTTGATTCAGCTGTATCATCATCTTTAATGGCTGAAGATTATTTCACTGCATGGACACAGCAAGGTTCAACTAACTGATCCCCAAGTGCTAGGACTTTTAGGTTGCTGGTTACTTTTTTACTATTATAAGCAACACAACGAACATTCCTGAGACTAAGTCAACACATCTCTGTGATTATTCCTGTAAGAGAAACTCCTAGGTGTACAATCACAGGGTGGAAGGGTAGCACATTTGTAAGGCTTTGGCTCCAGCACACAGGCTACCTGACCTCCCAGCCTGCAGGCAGGGCCCTCAGCATCTGTCGGGACTCAAGTCAGTCAGTCTCCCCTTCCCCCCAAGGGCTATGTTTTTGTCTTGAAAGGTCACCTGACATACTCAGAGATGCTGCACCCTTGACAGAATCCTCTCTGGGATGCAGGAATGGAAGTGGTCATCTGAGCATGTACCCAGTCACTGTGTTCAAAGATGTGATGGAATGGACCATTCTCTATCTTAATCCCCTATGGGGGTCAGATTCAGAGGCCAGAGGCTGGGGACCTAGGGACTGCTTCTGGTGAAGAATGAGATATCTGTCCCAGGGCTGCAAGCTGGATGCTTGGCCTGTGCCCAGGTATGCTAAGCTCAATGGAGGCAGGAGGGCTGTCCCTGGGGACAGCTTAAAGCTGGGGGAGTGGGGCAGAGGCTTGCTGCCTCTGTCCTGTCCCAGCTGTGTGGCTTGGTCAAGTGACTCCGCCCACCCAAGGCTCAGTCTTCATGTTGGAAAAACAAGGGCTGCTTGAGGCTTCGAGAGAGAATCTCTGGAGAGTGTTAAGCTCAGTGCCTGACACGTTATAGGTGCTCAGGAGACAGGAGCTGCCATGACTGGAGCCATTTCCAGGGCCTCCCCAGAGTCGGGCAGGGGACCAGAGCTTTGGCAAAGAGTTCCTAGAACCCCTGGGAGATGGTGATACCCCTCAGTGCTGGGGGACGGAAGAAGGAACTGGCAGGTGAGGCCTCCAGAGGTCAGAAGAGCAAGATCCTTGCTGAGGATGAAACCAGGGGCGGTGGGGGGGGGGC